TTGTCTGGAATGTTCCACAGTATGGCATTAAACCTTTCTGTCTTCACGGACATCGGACCAGAGCTTGGACTAGAAGTCACAGGTCAGATCTGTGGAGAGGCGACCCCGCTCACAGTCAGAACAGTCCATTATATGGGCAAGTTGGCAAGTGACTTCAAAACCTGTAATGTGAAACAGGACTAACCCAGAACTAACCCAAACTAAACCAGGACTAAACCAGGACACACCAGAACTAAACTAAACCAGGACTAAGACTACTAAACCAGACTAAACCAGGACTACACCAGAACTAAACCAGGACTAAACCCTAAACAAACTAAACCAGGACTAAACCAGAACTAAACCAGAACTAAACCAGGACTAAACCAGAACTAAACCAGGACTAAACCAGGACTAAACCAAACTAAACCAGACTAAACCAGAACTAAACCAGACTAAACCAGAACTAAACCAGAACTAAACCAGGACTAAACCAACTAAACCAGGACTAAACAGAACTAAACCAGAACTAAACCAGACTAAACCAGAACTAAAACCAGAACTAAACCAGACTAAACCAGACTAAAACCAAACCAGGACTAAACCAGGACTAAACCAGGACTAAACCACTAAACCAGACTAAAACCAGGACTAAACCAGGACTAAACCAGAAACTACTAAACCAGAACTAAACCAGGACTAAACCAGAACTAAACCAGAACTAAACCAGGAAACCAGGACTAAACCAGAACTAAACCAGGAACTAAACCAAACTAAACCAGGACTAAACCAGACTAAACCAGAACTAAACCAGGACTAAACCAAGGACTAAACCAGGACTAAACCAGAACTAAACCAGAACTAAACCAGGACTTAAACCACCAGGACTAAACCAGGACTAAACCAGACTAAACCAGGACTAAACCAGAACTAAACCAGACTAAACCAGAACTACCAGGACAAAAAACTAACCAGGACTAAACCAGGAAACTAAACCAGAACTAAACCAGGAACTAAACCAGGACTAAACCAGACTAAACCAGGGACTAAACCAGGAACTAAACCAGGACTAAAACCAGGAACTAAACCAGGACTAAACCAGAACTAAACCAGGACTAAAACACTAAACCAGGAACTAAACCAGGACTAAACCAGAACTAAACCCACAGACTAAACCAGACTAAACACCAGACTAAACAGACTAAACCAGACTAAACCAGAACTAAACCAGGACTAAACCAGGTCTAAACAGGAATAAAACAGGAAAACCAGGAACTAAACCAGGACTAAACCGAACTACCAGAACCAGACTAAACCAGGACTAAACCAGACTAAAACCAGAACTAAACCAGAACTAAACCAGGACCTAACCAAGTAACCAAGACCAAAACTAAAACCAGACTAAACCAGAACTAAACCTATGTGTCCCTCTAAACTCAGACAAAACTACAAACCCATGGACTAGATTTGTTACTCAGATCTACCACCAGAACTAAACCAGAAACTAAACCAGGACTAAACCAGAACTACCAGAACGTAAACCTATGAGACCTATGACCCAACGAAACTTTAAAGCCAGACTCTAAGCCATATTACTCCTCAACAGGACACAAAAACACAAGGCACACTCAAGCTCTCGCACACTCGTAACATGTTCATAGGATCTAACCAGAACTAAACAGGACTAAACCAGAACGTGTAATACAGTAAAACCAGAATAGAGCTCCCATGAGAGCTTTAATACCAGAAAAATTCTACAGCACCAAGGACTATACAACCTACAAGATACCATATTAGACCTCAAGGTTCAAAGAACACATGACCTAAAAATCTTCACACACGATCTCCTACTGAAAACCCATGGAAAACGTTAAAAGACAGGTTAATTACAATCCCTTTCATACAACCAAAATCTGGAAACCTAGTACGACCAAACAAGATCTATAAGACCTCTAGTACGTTAAGACCAGGACTAAAGTATAGGTCTATACTCCAGAACGTACACCCTTATAACTAAAGCAGATACATGATATACCAGAACTGACATATATAAACACAGGTACTAATACCAACGTCATTAAAACGCAGGTGCTAACACGCATTTAGTTTAAAGTCACTATGAGACTTAACTCTGCCTCCAGTGAATTGTTGAAATAGCGCGAGGACTGAACCTGGACAAAGAAACCTATAGTCTAGAGCCCCTCAGGACCTGATAAAACTAAGTGTCTAGCAAGGAGCCAACAGATTCTATAGAACCCGAGAAATGCTTATAAATCGCAGACCCTAAAACCAGATCTAACACGCAGATCTAGAACAACCAACAAACACTAAATCATAAGAAACCCTAAATTCTACAGACTAAACCAGAACTAAACCAGGACTAAACCAGGACTAAAACAGGTCTAAAACAGGTGTAAACCAGATGTAAACCAGGACTAAACCAGGACTAAACCAGGACTAATCTTGGACTAGAACTTGGCCTCTAGTTTGTCCCTGAGCTCGTGGATCAGAGTGTCTCAAATCTCGATCGGGCGTCGGCTGTTCTCCGTCTCGTGGAGCGTGGAGTCCTGCGTCGGTCTTTTCGCCGCGGTCACCCGACGGTCTACGCGGGCTTCACCCCCGACCCAACCCGACACTCGGAACCGCAACATGGCGTTTCACCGCGCCGTTATCGCCGCATTTAGCGAATTTGTTAGCGAAAACCCAATTCTGAAAAAAAAAAATCAAGAAAAACAACACCGCATACTCAACGTTTGTACGAGACAACCAAGAGAGTAGCTTTTTTTTCGTTTTAGTTGTTGTTAAGATAAGATATAGATATTCATTTGTACGTGAACTGTCTAAAATTTATCTTCAGAAACAACTTCTAGCTGCTGACCACTTGCAAGTTGTGTCCGAGCAATTGTTTAAAGTTGCTCAGTGTATTCCATCAAAAGTGGGCTGGCTTATAACAAACATCACATGTATCCTGAAGAATTCCTCTGAGCCAGGCCTAGAGATCCCAGGGTGAATGAGCCGTTACTTCCATATGATTGAAATACGAAGCTCGAGCTCGAACACTATCCTATTCCAATAGTGAGCAAAGAATAAATATACTAGAGTTACTTCTGATCTCAAACCTAATATTCAGCTCTGTAGAAGTGTAAGCCAGACCACTCTTACTTCCACTCGCACAGTGTGATCCTATTGGAGAGGACACAGAGGAAAACTGAATCGAAATAACTAGAACTCGGAGCCTAATTAAACTGGTGGGTCATAATATTTAGTTGAATGTGTTGCGTCTGCCTGTTAAAATAATCTTCAGTTGTCTTAATTTATTATTATTTAATGCGCATCAGCTGTTATAGAGCCGTCTGCCTACGTAAGACAAACTGAAACAACGTATCCAAACATCGCCAAATCCATTAAAACCAGATAACTTCTAAAAACCGTAGGAACTATCAGAGATAATCTCAGAAGTACTAATACGCCGGACTAAACCTATGATCAGGTACAACCAGAACTAAACCAGAACTTAAACCAGGACTAAACCAAACTAAACCGCCCTCGCGGAACTAAACCCAACGCAAGAACTAAACCAGGACTAAACCAGGACTAAACCAGGACTAAACCAGGACTAAAACCAGGACTAAACCAGAAACTAAACCAGGACTAAAACCAGAAACTAAACCAGAAACCTAAACCAGGACTAAACCAGAACTAAACCAGACTTAAACCAGAACAAAAACCCGACTAAAATCATGAACTCTTAAGACCAGAGCATAAACCCAGACTCTAAACCGCAGGAGCTCTTAGACCCAGATAACCTAAACCTCAGGACTCAATACACTATGACATCAAACCAGAAGTTACACCCAAAAACATAAACGATTCGATATACCAAACATATATTCATACCGTAAAAAAGACAGATCGTCTGCGCACTTCTCCTAATAAACACGAAGACGAGTGTTAAAAAAAGCAGAGGCACATTAACTGGGACCAAAACACTAGAACTAACCAGACACAGCCAAGTATATCGTAAAAGCGCCTACGTAGCATAAACCTAGCACACTAAGACGTCCATAGACAGGAGACAAAGGCCTCAGACTAGAAACCAGGATGCGTAGAACGCAGCGTGTCTAAAACCAAACTTAAACATCACATCGTGACGCCTAAACCCACTAGCAATAAAGTGATCCAGAGATGCTAGACTACCACGGTAGAACTAAACAACGTGAGAGCCGCAGGAACCAGACTTAAGACTCAGCAGTTAGCCGTGAAACCGAGAAGAACTAACCCCCCGTAGAACATAAACACCAGGGCATCCTTAAACCAGAGCACACATCATATACCTATGCCTAATACCATGAGTACTTCAAACTCAAGACACGTTAAAATAACCGGGCGACTTGAAAATCCCAACTAAAGCCAGAGGACTAAACTCAGGACTTAAACCGATGGTAGCCTATATACTAAGTACAACAACACGAGAATCTATAAACAACAGGACTTAAATCCACGTAAGCTAAACCCTCAGGTGAGTGACTAAACACTCAGGAGCTAAACACCAGCGTATAGAAACATGAATCCAAGGCCAAACACTCGAGATCCAACAGTACGTAAAACTGAAGTGATGTGAGAGACATCATTCTAGTGATCCAGGTAACTTAATACAACTTTAGAGACGTAAACTATTGTTGATTTAAAACCAAAATAGGAAACATAATACTCGACTACTAACCAGGACTAAACCAGGGACTAAACCAAACTAGGCCGGCAGGACTTAACACTGCTTTCAGCGTTACTAACACGTTACAAAACTAAGAACCAGGACAGAGCCGAGTACTCATTCATAGGAAAACAACCAGAACACTAAACCACTCGAACAAGCTTGTAGTTTCCATAAACAACACAGGACTATAACCCTAGGCACTCTTGAAATACCCAGCATCTAAAATAATCTATATTATAATTTAGCGTCCTCCACTCCACTAGTAAATTTAGTCTTCTCCTCGGATCTGCAGCAAGTCTTGCTAGAGTTTATAGAGACCAACTCGTAGTCATGACGAAGTCCACAAACAACGCCGACGGAGATCCGCTACGTCATCTACTCTATCTTAAACATAGCATACCAACATGGAGCTGCTACACACAGGTAGCTAAGCAACAAGCACAACAGCGTGCATCCATCAATGAAAGAGGACTTCTTGAGGCAACAACACTACATGATCGCACTAGCTACACAACGACCTGGACAGGCTTCAGACCGGACGCTACTACTGACACCAACCACATAAGAACTGCTAAACACAGCGCTCGATAATCGAAGGCATGTAGCCGTCCTCTCATCTGCACACCGCTACAAGGTCATGCTACCACAATTGAGAGCTGGGTATCCCAATTCCACTGAGCCCTGGCTTGCTCCTCTGTTTGAGTCTTCTATGTCAAATGCTTCCAAAAGCATCCACATCAAAGACCGAGTTATCACAGATCCAATCTATAGCGATTAGAGACTCAACAGATCTAGACACGCTATTTAATACTTATGAGGTACCGCATTCCCATATGAGTAGTGTCTCTGCACATCTGTCTCCACTCTTTGTTGTGTCGTTAAATTAGTTTCTGAGTACCAAGTCAGTTACTATATGTTTTGCTACTGCCTCTTGTATTACGGCTGATCTTTAGCCTCTAAAGTTTGTGGAATGTATATGTATGTGATGGACCTTTTTTTTGTGTTCGCGAGACATATTTTTTAGTTATTAATAATAATGAGAGGTCACCTCAGCGAGCAAGATCACGTTGCACCATGAGAGTCACACACTTGTATTGATGCCGCCTGTACGTAACCTTTTTCTCCTTAATCCCGTCGGTTAGTGGAGTCGGTCTTTAACACGTCTCTCTTGATTATAGCTGTATGCCCTAAGAAAACCTGTGCATGAGTAAATCTCAGAAACATCAAAGTCATCCTGGTCACACATGTAGACACGAGTGGACACACATGTGGATATATCATGTTTTAATCTACAGCACCATTGCGGTAAATAAGTGTACCATCTCACGCGCTTTCATTTTACTTTAAGTGACATACCCAATTAAATTTGATAGAGTTTGCGCTTGTTGCAACAGCGTTATACTAGCTTACTACAGAACCTGCTCACCCGACATGTCATCGTTTTTGGATGTAATCATTTTTTTATATATCACAAAGTCGCCTCCATCAGTCAACTAACATATATTAATACTATCGATTATATGTGTTTTCTCTTACGCCCCACAACTTACTGTTGTATAAAGTCCTACAGAACTATCATCTCTTCGTGGGAGCCATACTGAAGCAGAAGAGTTGACGAACAACTGCGTAAGGCTCCCTGAGCTCAACATACATGGTTCTATGACCCCTTCCACCATCAAACACACACACACATACGCACGCACACATCATCTACTCTAGACCATTCTTCTAGGCATCTCATATTCGAATAATACGTCTATCCCTGCACGAGCGCACTACAGCGACACATGCAACCCACAACATCCTCAGCACTCTATTCAAACACAGACACAAACAATCCACACTCAACAATCATACCCCCACATCAATCAACGCGATCTAAGATATAAGCGCTAACGACATGGCCTTTATTTAGTGCCCCACAACAGTCGAGACGACACACTTACAATCTCTCACGACATCGAGCATAATCGACTACAATTCCAGCATAACGCCACACGACGAGCAAAACAGCAGACAACTGCAAATAAACAACAAGCAACTACATCGACACACAACCAAACTACTATCTACTCAAACAAACATTCACCACATCAATTTAAATAACGTCAGACTATAACGACACACACAACAGCTATGCCATAGATATAGTGAACGCACAATGACACATGTTTTCGTGTGAACCCACAATCATCATTCAGCTATACTCTACACGTCTAGCACAAGCCAGCAAGGACACAGGCGACAACACATCTGTGTCAAACACCACTGCTTACTCACCACAGACCCAACATCAGCGCACACGCGAACAGCATACCACGTATGATCACAAAGCTCCGACTACACAAGACGACCACGGAGCAGACAGAGCAGAAGACAGCAGAACGAGACATAGATAGCGAGCCACAAGCAGACAACACCACAGGACGACCAGCAGCACACAGCACGAACTGGAGCAGACGCAGCAGACGGAAGCGCACACGCAAGCACGACACGACGACGCACACCGGACAAGCAGACTCAAGAGACGACAGCGAATCAGACTACAGTCGAAGCAGACGCACAGCGAGCAGAGCGCTAACGGAGCAGACAGAGCAGACCAGGAGCAGGCAGAGCAGAAACAGGCACACGGCAAGCGAACACACACAGCGACAGCGGACGCAACGGAGAGACAGAGCAGACAGACAAACAGCGGCACAACAAGACAAGCACAAGCCACAAGAGCTACAGTGCACACAAATCGGACAGCCAAACCGCAGACGCACAGCACACACGCCGCAACCCGAGAAGCACACCGACACCACAACGCATGCAATCACACAGACAACAGCGAGACAGCAGACATGAACCAGCACGAGCAACGGAGCACAACACCAGCACAGGCAAACAGACAAGCACAGCAACATACGCCAGAACGGAACGGACGCCAACACGAGCACGCAACAACGAGGCACTAACGCCATGACAACAGAAGGCAGACGCAAGCAGAACGGACGAGCGACGACACAGCGACCGCGACAGCAGCGACCGAGCAACAGCGAACCAGAGCCAACAGACGACCACGACCAGCGACACAACACTCCAGCGCAAGCCAGCGAATCAATGAAGCGCGACGCACACACACGACGAGCAAGCGAGCCAGACAGAAAACGCAGACAGCGGCAGCAACGCAACACCGGAAGCAACAACACACGCCAGATCAGAGCAGACAGAGCAGACAGACAGTAATACAATGATAACACTGTTGCATCTGCGCGATCGAGAGCAATGGAGCAGAGCAGAAGCTTATATGCGTGACGCCATACGTGTCTCCGCAGACATAAGCAGAGACACAAGGAGACAGGACATCTAGAGTAGGACGTCGCAAGAACTAAAAAGATCGAGATCTCGAGCAAGACTAGTTTAGAGTCGAGAGCAGAGCAAAGACATAGACGCATCCCAAGTAGCACTGGATCGTCGTCGATATGCGAACGGATAGTATGCAGAAGCTGATGCGAAGAAAGACCACGAGCGTACGCCTTCGAGAAGAGAGTTGCTCCATGAAGTCAGGTGGAGTGCACCAGCCCTATAGAGATTGTGAGCCTCAGCCAGGACCCTCACGTGATCGCGGACAGCCTCCAATTAACGTCAAAATCCAAGTGAAGATGATCTGAGTACCTTATTGAGGCCAAGGGAACAATCCTAGAAACCAGACTCTAGTGATCAAACAAGCAAACCATGAACAAGTTAAGTTGGCTGGATACATGAAAACCAGGAATGTCTATGAGAGCCGCAGGAATCCAAGACCCGTGCTGATCAGAAACCGTGCAGTAACAAGATACGCGTGATACCAGTATCCCAGAACAGTACGCACAGACCTATGCTTTTTCAAGACTTTCGTTGATCGTCAGTGTCTCGACATTCGTTCTTCCTCTCTGAAGCTATGAGAGAGTTTATTATCTCTGCATCATAGCGAGTAAGATCACTATCTATGTATCTCCACTTATTTAGAGTCTTTGTCGTCTCAATCGATCGCAACACAGACTCACGTGTCGTTTATGTGTGGACAACACGACAAGAAGACAAAACTTATCTACACTAATTTTTAGTACCGGAGATCTTCAAGACGCCAAGAATCTACCCAGAAGTGCGGTCTCTAAGGAGAACATCTGTTACCCAGCAGAACTCACGTAGGTGTTGTGTTGTCGTTGTGAGAGCGAACTAGAATGTCGTGATAGTGCAGCGTAGGTCTTGTTGTGAAAACAACGACATCGACGATGCCGCGTGTCGTGTGTCGTTGTAATGCATGCCATGATCCTCTGTGAGCTTGCGGTGCGAGCTATGCAAGATGCCTTGTGCAGTGTCCCTGTGCATGTTCGTGGATAATTGCCTCGAGGCAACTAGACCTCCATCGAGTGTAGCACAAATTACGAATGTTCGTAAATTGACAGTTTTGACAGCCTTGAGTCGGTGATGGCTTGGCTTGCCGTGTCGCGCCTTAGAAAACTGCTATGTTCCGAGCGCCTGTCTCATCAGCGAAGTTTGCTGTTTGAGTGATATTTTGCGTCTGATTATTTGTTTATGCATTTGTCACAGAAGCTGAGTGAAATTAAACACATGATGCTCGGTGTAGTTTAGTCATAAGACTGAGCTTAAGTAAGTGATATTTCTCGATGTCGTCGTGCTTTCGCTCATTGTTGTCTTGATGTGCGTGTGTGCGTGGTATTGGTGTGTCTTATGCTTTGGACTAAAGGACACGACTCAGTGGAAGATGAGTGTTCTCTCTGTGACTTGTGTTTAACTTTTACAAAATAAAACAAAGTTGTATTTCTGGGATAGAATCTAAAATCGACTAAATGACCTTAAAGTTTAAAACACGGTGATGAGATTTGCATTATTAAATATTATCATTGTTACAGCGCCACATACAGGTGTGGCAGCTGTATTACATCCTTTTCACTCAGTGCTCTGTTGTCGTCTGGACGTGAATATTTATTGATCCGACACGTGTGTGGATGCAAATTTTTTTCAACCCGCAAAGAAGAAAATCCAGGAGCGTTTTCAGAACATAAACAGACACAGTTTTAGTTTAGGTTTGTGTTTGACGGGGACAACGTCATGAAGGTTTGCGTCTGCTCCTAAATATAACGCACTTATGATTTTAGATTTAATATATTGTACAAACTCAATCCAAACTTTAAATTTGAATTTTTCCAGAATTCTCAATCCTTTCAACACGAAATAAAAACTGTATTGATCTTGATCCTTCGCTCTTTTTACCTGAAGTCCACATGTTTACGTTTTTAATAAGACGGAAGAAGATCGAATCAAAAATCAAGATTCATTCGTTCATTCATTCATTTGTCTGAGTCAGGTACAACAAAATTCAAAAACAATAACAAAAATAGTGATACGTACATGAACATATTTGGGACCTGAGACTCAAAAGGAGGAGGATGAAGTTTAAAAAAATTATAGAGTCCAACCCCAATAGTTTTATATAATCATGTGGTTCACACTTTTTTTTTTTAATCATAAACAGTAATGAGAATGAAAAATGTAAGGATTTTTTTTTTTGTTTTCGTTTATGGTCCTACAAAATAAACGGTAGTGGGAATGAAAAATTTAAGGATTTTTTTTGTTTTCGTTTATGTTCGTACAAACTAATAATAGTAATGAAGAAGGCACAAAAGTTTATCGTTTATGATCGTACTAAAAAATAAGGAGTAATGAGAATGAAAATTTATGGATTTTTGTTTTAGTTTATGATCCTACAAAATAAAGGGTAATGGGAATAAAAGATTTAAGGATTTTTTTTTTTTTCGTTTATGTTCGTACAAACTAATAACAGTAATGAAGAAGGCGCAAAAGTTCATCGTTTATGATCGTACCAAAATAAACAATTGTTTATGATCATACCGACTGATCAGTATGGGGGAAAAAAAAATCATGATTTCTTTTTCTTTGCTCCAGTGTTTGTACTTTTACTCGAGTAACAAAATGGATTCCTTTTTCCGCCGCTGCATGGACGAGTAAAACCTCTCAGACGTGTTTTTGATGAGGAAACAACATTAGAACACGGAGGAAAGCTCTAGAAAGTCCATTTAACCCAACACCTCCTCTTTAAACACCTCCTCTCTAAAACAGGAAGTACAAATCGTCTTTTTTTATTTTATTTATTTACCAAACCGCTGTAATTGTTCCATAATGAAGCCGGTTTGTGCCGCTCGGAGCTCGCGTCTGTGGATTTTGCTCGTAGTTTTCTTGTAATTGTCAAACGCATTTGCATTTTTACGCTGCGCCCTGCTCCCTTGGCTCCTCGTCTCCTTCCCTCGCCTCCTCTTTTCCTTTTCCTGTGCCTCTTTGCTCCGGGGCGTAGCACATTTTTACGCTGCTCCCTCGTTCCGCGGCTTCTTCTCTCCTTTCCCTGTGTCCTCGTTTGCTTCCTTCTCGTGTCTCCTTGCTGCCTCTGGGGCGTAGCGGGTTTTTACACTTCTCCCTGGTTCCTTGGCTTCTTGTCTTCTTTCCTTGTGTCCTCATTCGCTTCCTTCTCATGTCTCCTTGCTGCTTCTGGGGTGTAGTGCACTTTTACACTTTGCCCTAGCTCCTTGGTTCATTGTCTCATTTCCTTACCTCCTTTTTTTTTTACTTCCTTCTTACTGCCTCTGGGACATAGCACATTTTTACACTGCTCTCTGGTTCCTTGTCTCCTTATTTACATTTTTCCATCTTCCTTCTTGCTGCATCTGGGGTCTAGCACATTCCTCCTTGGTGCCTTGGTTTCTTATTTCTTTGGCTCCTAGTCTCCTTTTCTTGCGTCCTCGTTTGCTTCCTTCTCATGTCTCCTTGCTGCCTCTGGGGCGTAGCACATTTTTACACTTAGTTCTGGCTCTTTGGTTCATTGTCTCGCTTCCTTACCTCCTTTTTTGCTTCCTTCTTGCTGCCTGTGAAACGAAGCACATTTTTACACTGCTCCGTGGTTCCTTGTCTCCTTACACTTTGCCCTGACTCCTTGTTTCATTGTCTCCTTTCTTTGCTTCCTTTTTTGCTTCTTTTTTGCTGCCTCTAGGATCTAGTACATTCCTTCTTGGTGCCTTGGTTTCTTGTCTCCTTGGTACATATTTTCCTTCCTCCTATATTTCCTTGCAACCTGTTTCAGTTCCTTCCCATTCCTTCTTGCTGCCTCTGGGACGTAGCGCATTCCTACTTTGTGCCTTGTCTCCTTGGTTTCTTGGTTCCTAGTCTCGACCTCTTTCGGTTCCTTCCCATTCCTTCTTTCTGACTCTGGGGCGTAGGCACATTTTTACACTGATCCCTGGCTCATTGTCTCCTTTCCTTGCATCCTCGCTTGCTTCCTTCTCTATCTCCTTGCTGCCTCTGGTGTCGACCACATTTTACACTTTGCCCTCTCTCTTTGGTGCATTGTCTCCTTTCCTTGCCTCCTTTTCTGCTTCCTTCTTGCTCCTTCTGGGGTGTAGCACATTCCTTCTTGGTGCCTTGTCTCCTCGGTTCCTAGTCTCCTTTCTTTAAAACCTCTTATGGTTCCTTCTCATTCCTTCTTGCTGCCTCTGGGGCGTATCACATTTTGACACTGCTCCCTGGTTCCTTGTCTTCTTTCCTTGCATCCTCACTTGCTTCCTTCTCCATCTCCTTGCTGCCTCTGGGGCATAGCGCAGTTTTACACTTTGCCCTGGCTCCTTGACTTCTTGTCACCTTTCCTTACCTCCTTTTTATGCTTCCTTCTTGCTGCCTCTGGGGCGTAGCACAGTTTTACACTGCTCCCTGGCTCCTTGTCTTCTTTCCTCGCGTCCTCGTTTGCTTTCTTCTC